CCCGCTTTAATCATATCATTGTGGAAAAATTCTACTACCAGTCCTTCATCAACTTAAACAAAATAGGATGAAAACATCTCATATTACTGATTTACTGGCAGTCTCGAAACTCTACTCAAATACGAAATATAATCAGTTAAGCACAAATTTACGGATACGTAGAAAAGTTGGTTTTCTAAAAGTATCTTAACAGATTGATGTTGAAATAGCTTTTGGTTCGTTTTACGAGGCAAGTAGATACTATTCGTAAGTTGGCCTGACCCAAAGCCGAACTGGGATTTCCTCGAAACCGTGAATGTAAATTTGTGCGAATAATTCCTCGGCTCACTGCCACCTGACCTCGATAAATCCATTCTGACCTTTCTACTGCTACGGGACGGACATCATCACCAAAACACGAATACAGGAAAGGTCAGACTGTTTTCTCCGTAAAACATGGTGTCCATCACATAACGAACAAAAGCTCTGCAAGTATTCATCCAGATCATAGGAAGATGAGCCGAGAAATTATTCGCACAAATATATAGTCCCAGCTCCGAGTCAATCCCCATTAACTTTCGGGTAAGGCCAACATACAAATGCCATCCACTCACCACCTAAAACGAAATGAAGGGTACTTAAATATCAATCTATTAAGGGATTCATCGAAAGTCAACTGTCCTACAAATCTGTAAATCTGTGTTGAACTGATTATCAACTGACAATTAACGTGCTCAACAGAGAAAAAGGCCTCCTTGAGCAGTTCAATTTCGCATGGTTTTGACGTCCAGAGAATTTTTTATTTCGAACTGACTGAAACTTCTTCCATCTAAGTCTTGTCAACTATAAGGAATTGGATGAAAAAACCAACCAGCAATGGTCATTCCTATCGCCTCATCAAACGACATGGATGTTATTCTATCATTGATTTACAGATAATTGTACACACTACTAAATTATAATAAAAATAGTATCTTAAGCAACTTATATTCTATAGATTTGCGCAATCTCCAATGCTTCATAAATCATCAGATTAGTGCTTTTTCTGTTTGACTAGCTATGCTATTCATGTACTACTAAAGTTTTATTAACTCAAAAAAGCCCACAAAGTAATCTTGGCCAACCGGCTCCAATCGCTCCCAAAAATGCTTAGGGCAAGCCGAACATAAAGTCAAAAGTAACGCCAAAAGTGTCCACTCGAGCATTTAAATTCTTTTTTTTAGTTAAAGATGAAATAGAGACAAACCTACTTATGAAAGGTCCTGAGATGCGGCAGCACCCCGAAGATAGAGTCTAAAGTGGCCTCATTATGCCTGCCGGACTCACGCAGCTTAACCAGGTAGCCCTGAAAATAGCGAACAATGAAAGTAGAGAAGCAATGAATATGAGAATAGAATAGACGATGAGAGATGAGAAGAGGATTAGATAGTACCCTCAGACTGAACCAAGGTTCACATTAGCAAAGAGATACCAACCGAATCGACCTCCGACAGACTCTGCTGGTAACCGGCTTCCGTTTCGATCAACTCGCCGACAATCAACCGAAGACGATGCAATGCCGACACCGTCGTCTCGGCCAGCGCACAGCGGCTGCGGAGCCACTGGCCAGCAGCCGTCTCTATCAGCTCAGAGATGCCGGCCAGCGATGAAACTGAGGTTGTCAGGCCTGAATCGTCGGCCACGAGTTCCGTCGCTGTCACGGTCGAGTGGCGATTCGCGTCATTCGTCAGGCCCGAATCGCAGCTGTCTGGAGCATCCGGAATGGTGGCCCGGAATGCAGGCACTCTGGCACCGGACAGCCATTTGGCAGCGGTCCCGACAGA